AAAAAAGTGTACTTTAATAATTGCAGTTACTGGTGGTAATAAAACAGCTAAAATTGATAAGAGAATTAAATTGATTACCTGCATAATAGATTTATGTAACAACGAATAAATAATACAATTAAAGAGTTGTGATATCTAAACATTAAAATAAATATTCAAACAAAACTTCATTAATATGTAAGAAAGAACATGTTTCTATTCATACATTATAATAGTCGAAACATTAAACGCAATTCTATTTATTGTATTCAAAAAAGAGAAATAAGAAAGAATCATAGAAAAACTTTTTTTTTCTCTAACAATCTTTCGTCATTGAAAGACTCAATGAATTGCTTTCCAGTCGGATTTATATCTTGAAGAACACGATTTAGTGGAAAAAAAGATCAGTGATCGAAGTGAGTTCTACATAATTAACACAAGAGAAGCAAATAGTGAAGTATATAAGAACAACACAAGTTTAAATAATCTGTAGACATACTCATCTCGTATATAGTGACTAAACAAGGACAGTATCTATCAAGTTATCATCAATATTTAATAATATTATATATTTTCATCAACTTTTATATGAATAAATAACAAAATTAACAAGAGAAATGTATGCTCTAAGAGGTATAATTATGTCCTTCCGTGCGTCATAATGTATCAGAATCATCATCGTTTTGTTTGAATGACTAATGAGGAGACTGTTTTGGTCTATACATATTTATCGATAAGTCGTATTGTATGTCATTGTATTTTACCTTTGTAAAATAGTGATTCAGCGATACATCACCAATCTTTTCTTTTCGTTGTTTATTACTAGACACACTAATACATCGGAAGTCTACTGCATGTCATGGTAAACACGAACAAACAAACGAATCAAACTTATCTGCACATCCCAGAATAGAATATCAAAATTCAGAAAGCATAAATTGTCACTTGAATATCACGAAAAATTCCACTATTTATTATTATCGATTCAGAAACGATGTTGCTTTTTGTATGTCGTTTTAAGATAATTCACATTAAAATAAAAGAAAAATGTAATGATAGTGTCCATACAATTACGAACTATGATCTTGAACGTTGCAATTTTAATACGGTTGCTTACTTGATGAAAATTCGACTATACTCCGTATCGCACATTATATTTCGATGTTTTCTTGGATTGTATTGAATTTTTTTCAAGGATTTCGAAGAAAACTCATTATAACTGTAAGGAATGTTTCACCACACAAAAAAAGGTCCAACATTTTTGCTGACAAGTTTTAGCCTGTTTTCGTTTGTCTTCCTAATTATTAGTCACTACAAATAAGAAAACTTCAATAGCAATTGGTTCCACAAAAACTAAAGTCCTTTGGTATCAAATTCAAGTTGATATTGTAATTTTTTTCTGCAAGAAATTTTCACTGAGTCATGTCGTTTTGTAGAACGTACGATAGAACTTGAAAGCGTTAGTTCTGGTAAGATATATATTGCAGAACTAAGGATCCTCCTGTATTCAGTCTGCAGGCCAGTCTTTTTATTTCTTGTTTGACAAAGATATTAAACTTGTCACTATATGTTACATGTTTTTTTTTTCAGCAGAAATAAAACGAAAAATAGAAAAGATGCTTGATTTTCAAAAGGGATCAAAACAATAATAAAAGAAAAACATAAAGGGATGAGATTCAAAACGTTATCAATACCACAGATGAACAGTGTGAATGGATAAGTTTTCTCTTTATTGCTTTTCTCGAGCTTCAATTAGAACGAATAAATCATTTTATCGATTTGGCGTGATAATAAAATTGTTCGTCTTTGAATAAATGTTCATCCAACTGAGCGAAATAATGTTTCCAGCGAGACAGTAGCCGCTGGTATTGCTTTCATTCGTCTCCTTACTATTGGTAATACTAGATAATGATGACGAATTTTAGTAATGGATAAGAACTTCATTGGATGACAATCAATGAAGTAATTTGAATTCTCTGCAGGGCATTTATCTCATCACGTTCTCTGGTACACAATAAAAGATATTTATTATGTTGTTTGACTCAAATCATGCAAAAACCATCACTGACTATAGTTAGCCCGTTTTTCACACGAGAAAACAAATCAAAGTGATGACTCTAGAGTCCTGCGGGACAGTTCCGAATCCCGAAAAACCCCGTTTGTCCCGTCCCGTGGGACAAACAGGACTATCCCGAAAATTTTTCGGAACGGGACAAACGGGATTTAGGACAATTCGAAAAATAATGTTGTCCCGAAATTTTTGAGCCTGTATATCGAAATCCGTTGTAAACTTTAATTTTCATATTGTTCACAAACATTTTAGTATNTGAACATATTTTGCCATATCGAATTCCAATAATTGATAGGAGATCATAGTGACGTCTTTTTCTAATATGTCAAGTATATATTATAAAATTATCATGACTACCATCGGGTACCTCCGCTAGTCTAATATATAAAGAAGAAAGTTTGTTTGTTTCTTTGTATGTTTGTTCTTTATGCATTCAGTCCTTGTAAGAGCTAGAGCAGCCAAACTTTGCATGACACACCCTTGGGTCCAGGAGAAGGTCAAGACGGGATCGGCGGAGCCGAGAGGGGATGGGTGGAAAAAGCTCCCCCAGTTTTCAAAAAATGCTGGAAAAATTTTCGGATTTTTTAAAAAAATGTCGAAAATATTCTCCAATTTCTGAGGTACTTGCATCTTGATTTTATATTTCCGCACTGTCATTGGTCAAGAGCTATTTTTCAATCAAAAACTTTTATCTCTGACGTACTTAGTGACCCCGTTGTTGGAGTACTATAGTAAGTGTCCCATTCAAAAAGTCCGTATGTGCAACTGTCTTCTCGATATCTCGAGAACGAAAGGAGATAAAGACCTGTGGTTTTCGCCATTCGACACAACAGATTCTAGGGTATGAAAGTAAGCTCAAATTTGATTGGTCGATTTGCTGACCAATCGGATGTTAGGATACTTTAATGATCAATAATATTGTTTTGATCAAGTTTTCAACAAAAATGTTTCAAAACGATAACAACGTTTTACAAAGAAGCTTTTTTTTAACTTCAAAGTAATGTAGATTAAAAAATATTAAAATACCAAAACTAGAGATGGGCAAAGTGGTCCCAATCCCAGTCCCAAATTTTTCACCGGGACCGGGATCGGTACTAAATTTGTTTTCGACCACAATCAAACTAAAACAATTGGTCCTGTTCATGTCTTATTGAGCATCTAAGGAGGAGGATATTAGTGATTAAATCGGTTACAGCATAGCAGCACGATGTTTCAAACTTATAGACAGTGGTAGAGGATAATTTTAAGCTCTATACTGACAAAACTTCTGTTAGCTTCGGTACCGACACTGAATTCCTTTTTAACCGGGACCAAATGTTTTTTTTGATCGGCATCGAGAAGGGACTAGAACCAAAATGTTTTTGACTGGGATCGGGATCGGGACCGAAAAACACTGCTCCTGCTCATGTCTAGCCAAAAAAAGTTGAAAAGGGACAGAGATCTGAGCGCATTTTGGCAACATCCAAGATCGATAGCTTATAGGAAACCATAAGACCACCGTTTTCCAATATGTCAGGCGTGCAATATTGAATTTTCCCGGGCAACGCCGGGTACTTCAGCTAGTGTATGATATTTAAATAGCTGTGATTTGAGATGTATTTGTCCAAGATACTTTTTACGTCTTGAATTCAAAAGCTAATTCAAAAAACATATAATTAATTTCCTTACTTAGATTATTTCAATAACTCATCTAATGATAAGTGTTTATTCAGAAAAAAGTGATACGAGTTTTATTTCGATTAATCTAATCATTAAATCCAATCTTAAGCACTAATTAAAAAACTAATTATATTTTTTATCTAGATTTATGTCTCAACAATTGAGTGAATCCATTTATATTTAAAAAATGAATTATATAGGTTCTATTGACGGAGTAATAGAAGGAGAGGAATGCATCGAAAGTCGATCCTTTTTCTGACACAGGGAAAGTTTGCATGAAGACGATAATCAGTAGTATCGCATAAGACAGTTTATAGTCGTTCGCAATGGTCCTATACAGGTCACATGTCATCGTATACGACCGTTTACGATAGTCGTAATCTTCGTTCTATCAGAAGTTCTCTGATTGGTTTTTCACCAAATTCAAATGCGTCTACATATTTCTCATAGTTATTCTTAATAATTTCAAACAGATGATAGGTATTTGCCTTTTTTGCATTCAGCAGATGTTTGGTCAAGTGTGATTTCAAAGGCTTGTTGAGTCTAGCTGAATCAGAAAATTATCTCATCGATGTTGCTCTTTTTGTGGAGAAAAATTTCGTTTCGTATATGTTTACTGGGAGCATAAAGTAAATTTTTGAACCGCTTATTTGTGAGAACACATCACTCAAAAATCGATCTGTTCAGGTTTTAAACCTTTCATTCGTAGTAATGTGGATATGCTGGATAGAATTCGATCAGATCTATCGATTAATACCAAATAGAATTTTGTTCAGCGGCAGGGTAAATCTCTAGGTGACCAAAATGACCAGGACTGGAGATTTCAACGCATATCAAGACCAAATATTCTTATCAACAGTTGTGCCAATTGAGAAAGTATGTGCGTATTCTTTTCATCCTCACACCAGCACCTACTCTGATGCTCAAATTCACTCCTACATCCCTCTAACGCGAAGGGAAAGGATTAGAAACGGGCAAAGGAATGCTAGAAGCTTCGTTAGAGTATGGTGGGTGGTTAGTGCCTGTAGTAGGTCCCCATTGTTATGTAGACCTTGAAAGCTCGGCTCAGAATTATCTGGGTGTGCGTGGCACACGACTGGGCATTATCAGACTCATATATATGACATGTGTATATGAGCTTACACCATGTGCGCATGATCTTGGCACCACTATGATTCCACCAAGGTGGTTCCTGGTTGCGTGCGTGCGAAACTGAATAACCATTGCTTTTCATTCAGAGTAATTTATTTGGAAGAAAGGACAAAAATAAAAATTCTCCATCGTAATAAGTCTATTCGATAGCAAATCGTTGAACTCGATCATTCCCGTCATCAACAACATAGAGATTGCCATGTCTGTCAAAGGATAAACCTCTGGGATAATTCAACTGATTTTCTCCTTCTTCTTCATCATTTTCACCTACAATAACAGTACCCTGTATTGCTCCTCTTGGCCAACGCATTATGCGATGATTATCCGAGTCTGCCACATAGACGGTGTTCAACGTATCGACGGACACTCCATGAGGATGCATCAATTGTGTCATAGCAGTCCCAAAACCTTGACCTCCGGCGACGACAATTCCATCTGCTGCACCTCGTTTCCATTTCATCACACGATGATTTTCTTCATCTGACACGTAGATAGTCTGTTGTCGATCGACAAAGATGTTGGTTGGCCAGTTGAGTTGATCAAGGTCATTACCTTGTCCCTGACCACCAGCCACGACAGTTCCATTATTGTCTCCTATTCGGTATTGTCTTACTTCATGTTTGAAAGTGTCAGAAATGTAGAGATATCTCTGATCATTCATGGTCAAACCAAAACAACGGATGTTGTCGAGGATGATTTGTCCGTGACTTTGAACACTACGACGAGACCATTGTACGACTCGTTGATTTCCGCGATCACAAATAATGAGACTATTCGTCTTTGTGTTGATCAGCACATCTGTTGGATAATTCAATTGATCTAATCGATTTCCTTTGCCATGGCCGCCAGCTACTACTTGTCCATTCGTGTCACCCGTCTTCCATTGAATGATACGATGATTGGATGTGTCAGCAATGATCACTGTTTGATCGTCATCAATGCAGAGACCTGAAGGGTTGTTGAGTTGATTAGTGGCACTGCCTCGTCCGTTACCTCCAGCAACGGTCATCCCATTCGCTATCCATCGAGCATTGACTGAAATATCAGGAGGCCCTACTGTAAACAAAAACAAACGATCGAGAATGCATTGTGGTCGATTGGGACGAACTACGGATGAGGTTTTCTTCTCCTTCAAGGGAACTTGTTATAACTTTCGAGAATTCCGTTTACCAACATGCTCTAAACAAGAAAATGTTTTTCTTGCGAATATAAAGTCGGAAACTTTTCCTAGATTCTTATAGAAAAAGGACTTTATGACGATTCCTACATCTATATCAATTTTGGAGTCACAGTCCTGTTCATTTCTTGAGAGAATCGGATAGGATCTGTCAGGTTCCAATTTCCAATCCTACTTAATACATATATACGGACACCTGCTGCATTTGCTGGTCAGATGCATTACATTCTAAAGAGTAGAATTTGCAAGTGGAATAAAATCTGCACCTGAAGAATCTTATAAGAGTTCTTTCAAGAAATAAGCATTTTTAAAATTCTGAGAAGGCCAATGCTAATTCTATCAAAGCTGTCGATAGGAAAACATAGAGATCAGAGAATTTTATGCATAATTTTGAATGCAGAATCTGAGCGAGATTTTCAGAATGCATACGAGCAAGCTTAAATATCCACAGGATTTACAGAAACTCTAGACAAAGATTGAAGCAATAAAATAATGAAATCTATCAGGCTTCAAAACTAAAAACCTCTACGAAAATTTTACCTGAATTTCATTAAGAGGATCTCAAAAATGAGCATTTCGAGTCCTTGAAAAACAAACGTATATTGTATCAGTATGTATTCGGAAAACTCTACGAATTCAGTGTGAATCTTTCAGGATGCTTCTTACGTGACTCGACAAAATCTCTGGTCACATGATTTTCAGAATGATGAATGCGAATCTACAGAAGGTTCTCCTAAACATTTACATACGTAATGCAGGCGAGAGTTCAGTAGCTTTTTGCGTACTTATGTCAAGCTCTTCGAAAGACGATCCTAATAGGATCTTAGCAAGATCATAGGAAGGTTTTTATGCATGAAATATTGACTAAAATTGACAGAATTGCAAGCGAACCTTTGAAATCTGACGCCTTCTACTTTTGAAATGCTGATAAGACAAATGTTAATTGTCTCGGAGTTCTCCTTAGAAAAGCATAAGGATATGTTTGTTTTATACGTAATTTAGAGGGAGGGGTGGTGGAGGGGAGTGAATCTTAATGTGATAGACAGAAAGACTTCCACGTGTCTATAATTACGTTGTCGTGAAAATCAGCTTCAAACCAATATGTTAGAATCATAGAAAAGAATTTTAGCGGCTGAATAATGCACTGTCAAAATCTGGAATTCTAAAAATTGTGATAATGTTGTATCAGGATAGCGCTATGAGCCTTATGTAGTTCTTGTACTAAGAATCCTTCTTTGAGCTAGTATGTCATGTCTATTGTCACGAGGATCTTAAGAAAAATGATTTGGGGTTTCTTGATACACAAACGTCGATCCTAAAGAATGCCTATGGAGCATCGATTACCATATTGAGAATTGCTACAATGAATGAAAAAGAGTGCGGGGTGTGGGTATGGATGATGTCTGAGAGAGTAGAAACATTCACACCGAATACTCAGTGTAGCATCAGGAAACATGGCATATTACACTTGCACTATATTGTGTAACGGGTTTAATGGCATTCTGAGAATATTTTGCTTAGAGAGTATGTATTTATTATATACCATGCAATTCATAAAACTTATTCTCTCTGTCAACTTGACTAGCAAATCCGCTGGTTCTCTCTCTTTAAAAAAAAATTTGAAAATGTATAAACTTTGTTACGCGCCAAAAAAGGATGCATGTTAGGCACTAAGAAGATGCTTAGAATTATCTGAGATATTCGATTGTGCAAGGTAGATCATGATTCTCATGCAATGACTTAAAGTCACATAATATTTATCTTACATTTCTTTCTTTGTAAACGTATCAGTTGATAGTTCATTTTTTGAATCGTTTCATTATACAGTGTTTGTTCATGCATAATCTTGTATTTCAACTGATCTAAATATGAAAACATAGAAATAGGAGTATTTTATTCGTAATTTCGAATGCAGAATTTTAGCGAGACTATCAGAACGAGTAATAGCAAGCTTGAATCCTTGCAGAATTTATAAGAACTCCAAACAAGAATTAAGCGATAAAATAATGAATTCTATCAGGCTCCTAAACTGGAAAAATTCTGTGAAATTCTACAAGGGGGAACAAGTATACTTCTGTACTTCAGAATTGAAGAAGTACAGAGAAGTACACACAAGTACAAAAGTAAAGTACACTTTTTTCTCTTGATTTTTGCCCATAAAACAGAACAAAAGTGTTCTGTTATTTTGAGTTTCCAATGGCAAGACGGAAAAGTAGTCAAATATTGACAAAAGATTGTTGATAGCAAAAATGTCGAGAGTAAAGAATGTCGACAGGCAAAATGTCCACTTACGTAAATGTCGACAACTGGAAAAATAACGAAATTAATCTCATTTTCAATTATATTTATAATCGATTAAAGTCAATGTTATTACACATGCGTACGAAGAAAAATACACGTAAATAATAAAAAAAACTAATTATTCATGTTGTCCTGTTATATATCACTTTGCATGTACAATATTTTTATTGATTTTGACTGCATTCCAAGTAGTAACGACAGTTATTGAAATATTCGCTAGCCTCTTCTTCCAAAGGAGCAAGAGCAGCTTGACTAAGGGAAACCTAGGCTAATTCATCATTATAAATTTGTCCTATTGCGGTAACCTCTTTGATGAATCTCTCTTTTACCTTTTCCTTAAAAATTATAATTGCAATACTTTCGGGTATTCGTAAGTGAGAGTTATGATCTCCTAAGTTCCTTATATGCTGATTATTATGATCGGTATGAATATACACCGAGCAAATCCGATCCTTATAACGCCAATACTTCATCTTTGGTCTAGTTTTGTTTAACTGATAAATGAAATCGTCACAAATCAAAACTAGTTTGCTTTTGTTCCTGACCGAAAAGTTGAGAACATGAGTAGTGCACATAATAAAAGACGACAATTACTCTCAGATGGATCAGTGAAAAGTATGTGTACATACTAGTAGTATGGTAGTGTGCATACGAATGGCGGGATACTGGGAAAAAGAAAAAATATGTGCTTTTAGCCGAGGTAGAAAGAAACAAGATTCTATCTTCAGTCCGACACTCACAAAAAGTATGGAACGCAAAAGAGGTCACAGGTTCGTAAATTATATCAGGATTTGTTACACCTTAGGGCTTTTTACATTTGTTTTGTCGATATTCAACCTGTCGACGTTTTCGTCGTCGATGCTTGACTATCTCGCTGGTAGAACGCCTTTGTTCTTTTTTTTTTGGGAAGAGTTTTTTACCATTTCCTAATAGCAGAATATTTTTGATCTGTTTTTGAAACAGAAGTAGAGAGAAGTACCAAGAAGCGCACAGAAGTATGTCTCCCCCCCCCCCCCTCCTTGAAAATTCTATCAGAGTCTTGTTAGGAAGATGCCAAGAATGAGAACTTAGTGTGCTTGGAAAACAAATGTTCATGGTAATCATTTTGTATTTGGATAAGTCTAAGAATCCAGTATGCATCTTTCAAGATGCTTTTCACGTGATTCGACGAAATTCTTGTTCATCTAGTTTTCAGGATCTTGAAAGCAGATCTGCTTAACAACCTTCGTAATATTTACATATAGAATGCATATGAGAGTTCATTAGCTTTTTGCGAGTTTATGTCAAGCTTTTTGAAGAACAATGCTGATAGAATCTGAGCAAGATCATAAGAAAGTTTGTATGCATGTAAAACTGAGTAAAAATGACAGGATTGCATGCAGATCTTTTAAATCTGCCGCCTTCTACTTTTGAAATGCAGAGAAGACAACAGGGGTGGTGATAACTTCAGAGAAGACTCGCTTCTACACCAATACTCAATTAGAAAATAGGCGAAAATCTTTTTATTACATTTATTTTCTAATCGTTTTTTTATTAGGATGGGAAAATCACTGTAGGTCATGTTGTTATTAAGTGTGTTCTTATGAAGTTAAAAGATAAACTAGATTGAGATGTGACTTTTTTACATGAATTACCATAAAAATAGAATGAAAAAAAGTGAAAAATAATTTTGATAAAATAATTTTAATATTTAAATATATATCTTCTATGTTTGTTCTACTTTGTATATTTGAAAAATATAAAAACAAAATCAAAATAGACTTGAAACTTACGAAATATCATACACCTAAATCCGTGTAGAAGCTAAAGTTACTATTACATTTCCATTGAATGTCTTTCATTAGTGTCTTAATCGCTTCTATAATTGAATAATGGTTGATTTAGCGCATGCATCATATGTAAGACATCAATATTTAAGTTTAATATCGATCTATGCCTTGGTGTGGAAGGAAAGGAATCATGTTCATAGATTTTCGGGCAATATATGCCCATTTTGAAGTCTAATAGAGTTTTTATCAGAAGGAGATTCGTATAGAATGTCTAGAACGTCATCTATACAAGAGGAAAAAGCGAGACTTCAGTACTCAGATGTAAGAGGGAAGTAGAAGCGAAGTATAGTGGAGTACGGTGAAATACAAATGAAGTATGGTACTTCACGGTAGTTCGTTCGTACTTCATCATACTACAGTTGTACTTCACGTGTACTTAGGATTATTGAAGTCGCATTTTTTCTCTCTTGCATACATGCCAAATTTAAAAGTTGAATTCGACTGTTTTCAACTTTCAACTTTACAACACACGTCCCTCTCGATGTGAATGCCATGGGAACACATGCAAACATCTATCCCGATATGTTTGAAACTTAAAGTGAACTCAATTTTCAAATTAGATATGTATCACACCTTACATAACGTATACACTCCATAAGAGTCTCGTTCTGATAATAACTCTCTTATAACCGAAGAAGCTCACCAACTATCTCTGAGAGCAGTTCATACGCATTCGGCTATCAATCGAACTTTATCATAGTA